GAAGAGCGTAGACAGAGTCAACTTGTTTGACTCCTTTAATTTGCTTCTTTAGCATTGTGCAAGTATTGAGACCAAATGCATCCAGTTTTTCTTCAAAGAAATGCCATCTAGTTATTCTGAGGTCCTCAGAATATAACAACTATGTATACACATATAAAATATATATATGTGTATACATATACACACATTAAATGTTCAGTAAAAACCAAACAACTTTCCCAATCTTATTTTGAGGTGGTTGAACTCTTAAGCCACTTTCCAAGTATCCACTTGTCTGCTTCAAATACTAAAGATCAAATGCAACGCTCAAAGTTCAACATCATTCTAAAGTAGTACATGATCACAAAATTAAAGAGCTAACTGATGTATATTAGAGATTTTTCTCTATACAGGCTTGTTTTTTCTATATGCTAATTCCTGCACACTTGAAAGGAAAAGTCAGATTAACATTCACAAACATTTACATAATATATATATAATACACACACACACACGCGCGAACTGGTAAAAAAGATGAATACCATTACGTTTCATCTTCATTTGCTCATATTCAGAAGACCTCTTGGGTTATGAATAATATCAAACGTCACTCTGCAAGCCCCTTCCCAGTCCTTCTACATCAGCTACATGTGTTTTCTTACTCAAAACTATTGCCAGCTCTATTCCAAACACACGTATCGCTGTTAAAGTAGCCAGTAAACAAACCATCTTCTAACTCATTCAAGTCAGAAAGGAAATTGTTTTGTTACTGCAACACAATCAAGTAGTCAAGGCTGCATAATTGGCTTTAACACTTCTGAATGAAAGAATAACTCCTACCAATGGTAATACTTGAAACGAGGTCTCCAGTTCGGAGTCCGTAAGAGAGTCTGAACTGCACAAGCCAGATTTACAAACATATAGCACATGAGGAAAAACCTGTCAAGAAACACAAACATAACACATTTTCAGACAGGAAGTGAACTAGACAGACTTTCACTGAAAGGTCTAAATGCAATCCATAAAAAGGGTGGAAGCTTTCATACAACACCCATATTGGCCAACAGAACGGAAGATCTAGATTAAATTAATGCTTCTAGAGTATTAATCTGTCTCAAAACATGGTACTAGAATAATATCAAGCCTCAATCAAAGACTTCAGTGATAATCAGCTTTCTAGCTTTTCTCTGAATAACCTTCATATTTGTCACACAACATCTGATTTTCAATCTAGCACCATTGAAATACTGAATATAATAGTGAAATAACCATCAACAACTGTGTGTGGGTTCGTGGGTATTTGATACTACAACAAGCCTTGCTTTTTTGGACATCACACCAGTTTCTTTACAGAAACTATTAAATAGTATTCATTTTTCGAAAAACAGCCCTATATCCTTGAAGGTTAGCCCACATCCTTGCTGGCACCATGCATGACTGAAGCTAGCTGAAGTAAAGGCTGCCCCAATCACCAGCTCTAAAGAAACCTACAGGACTGCAGATAGGCAATTTCCATTTGCTATCCACCAGCTTCTGTTACAGTCCCCCCCGTGCCATAGATTACTTGGAATAAAACTGAAAGTGAATAATAAGAGTTCTACTCTTAAAGAGCAGAAATAGCACCATGGGAAAACAACTTTCATGTCTAAAATTTGTTTAAAAACTGAACTGATTAAAGTTGGATGAACATTAGATGCTATATGCTATTTTGTTGTGCATTCATTTTTAAAGTGCCATTTAAGTATTAATGACTTTTGTAAGTGTAGATTATACATCAACGCTATTTTATAAGTGTATTTCAATTAAGCATTAACTTATATTGAGCATTAACCCAAAGCATTTTATTACTTCAAATTATTTCCAAGCTTAAATGGAAACGTAACTCATAAGAGGACAAAATCTAGCAAATAGCTCAAAGAGAAAAATCGTTACCTAGTTAATATATCATTTATCTTAAAAGAAGGTGAAACACCATCTGCATACTTACATTGAGAGAATTGGTGCTACACTGTCCAAAGAGGCTATCAGAATTCCTATTTCACAGATACCAGCAGTGAGGAGCAGAGCCCAAGTTGGTTCTCCATTTGCTTTTCCATGACCAAATACCTAGTTCAATCCAAACAAACGGTAAATTTCAGAAAAGTGTTTAGTATACAGTCGTGAAACACGGTGCAGATTGTAAACTAACTAACCGGAATCAAATACAGTCATTTATTAGAAAGAGGAAGTAATGAATCTACATGAAAAATATATATGAACTTGGAGGAAAAATGCATTTCCAATATGAAAAATTTTTACTTAAATAAGAAATATTATAATAACGTAAAGTGATGTTGCAGTGGCTGGTCAAACAAGATCTTAAGTAACTGAAAATCCATACGCCTCAGAGATTTATACTTAGTCATCTATAAAACACTAGGCCAGTTGAGGGAATTTTTTTTATAACAAAAAATAAGCATCAATTGAGTAGCCAAATATTATACTAGTGTTTGAGAACTTTAAAAAAAAAACTAGTATCCTGCACAGAGCACTACCAAAATCATTCAGCATGTGGCTTTTTTTTTTTTTTTTTGCTAAAAACAGACTGCTTGCACCCAAAGCCAGCGAGTGAACATCACTCACAAGCTGTACTGAATGGAGAGAGATGGGAAAAACTCCTTATCTAGAGTTCCAGCAGTATTTACTCTCCATGCAACTATAAAGACTAAATCATCTCCCCCATTTCCCATAATTGCTTCCTTTCCAAATCTCATTCATTCTCCATGCCACTTTCTCCTCTTCCCTCAGCTTCGTCTCATCCAATCTTCTTTAAGATTAAAAAAGCCTTTTTTGGTCATGTTTTAAAAGCAAAAGAATTTTACATTGAAGTTCTACTCTTGCACCCTGTATTAGTCTCCTTGCATTCCCTTGACTACCCATGCAAAAGCTGTATAACTCCAAAACTAAGAATCTTGCAAGATTTAGAGTCCTCTTCAAATATCCTGTTTCTCCTTAATTTTCCATTTCGCTCCCTTCCCAAATTACAGAGACTTTTGCTCTCCCTTCAAATCCATCCACGTGCCTGTGAAGTGATGGAATCACACTGTCCTTCTCACCAAGTACTGCCCTTCTATTTCAGACAAAAGTGAAGTTTTTTTTGTTTCTCTCTTAATATAACCCAGCATTTAAGAGTTATTGCATTAAATCCCACTTCCCACTCAAGAGAAACTCCAACATGATTGCCTCCCGCCTCTCCAGCATAATTAGGATATTTACTTCCAATTACAGACATAGCTGCAGTCTTGCACAGCTCATCTATGAGATAGAGAAACAACATGTTTTAGTCCTGCACATCCTCATCATCTTTCCCCATCCCTGGCAGGAGAGGTGCTCCAAAACCAAGGGAATGGTGATATAACCTGTTCTCCGTGAACAAAGTGCGAATGCACCTTGTGCAAGGTCGACTCTGTGTAAGCTTTCCCCGGACCAAGGAAGCAGGCCAGGCTGCTGTTTTATAATTAGTCTTCTGTTGCTGCTGGAAAGCATACCCATTCTTTTCTTCCTTTTATTATTATTATTAGTTTTGCCTATTAAAGATGGATCATGCATATCTCTAGCTAGAATCTTCACAAGTTCAGCCATTTAACTTCGGCATTAAAATTAGGATATGAACCTCCCCAAAGCATAGATATAATACAAAGCAGTGCTCCAAATCATCCTCAGGATGATCTCCATACAAAAAAGCCTATCCTTCTACATTAGTTTTCAGCCCTGCTCGCCTTCAGTGTCTCTGCTATCTGCAATTTCCTTCTAAAGCTAAGTTTGGGAAGTCTCTCTTAATTCTGTTCCCAAAAATATTCACAGCTATTTAGACATAATCCAGGTGTTTATATTGAACCTGGTCTTGACAGGTTATCATTGTGCTGTGCAACTGTCAGCTTGCCTCGGCATTTTGAGGTATGCATTCAACAAGCTCCAAACTTCACCACAACAGTCAGGGAACTTTAGAGCAGTCTTCAAGTAGGACAGTATTACACTGTTGCATCTTTCCTCACCTCAACTTACAAAAATGAATTCAAATTAGAATTATAGCTCTATGACACAGAAGGTTATGTATTTATGGAGTTCCATAACAAGATCAAAACAACTCTGTTCGAACTGTCAACGCAGCCTGGAGTCAAGAAGTTCAGCTGCCTGCTGTTTCCTAGCTTGTTCATTTCCACCTATAGGAGATTTTATGACCATA